GTGGACAGGAGAGATGCCTCTCTTAATGAAAATGACTTTGATTCCCAATATGTGATTTCCATTAAGTTCCCAAATTTGTTTGGGGAGAGACACTGAAAACCATTAAGGCCAGATCCTTTCTAGCTGGTATCATTCTCTTCAAAATCCTCCCATTGACTGTGTTAGATGCTTTGTAGGATAAAAACCTTATTTGCAACCTCTTTGAAATAGGGATTCATCTGCAAAGTCCAAGGCCATGTGTCAATGTGCTCTCTAGGGGACTTCTAAAAACTAAGTGAGCCATAGCGCTCATTGGCCAAGAACAGCAATTGACGGGCAATGGGAGCTGAAATCTCCTGTACTTGCCGAGGTACAGGTAAACATAGCAGTGATGACCTGCCCTGATGAACTGGATCCAACCCACAGGCCAGTATTTGCCCACAACTGCTTAAACTAAGGGAGTTGTCTTTGCAAAACCAGAAGCAAAGCCTTCCCCAGCACTCCCAAGAATCCAAAGCACAAATGCCCACTAGGATTTTTGTGTATACAGCATATTTGTTACACTTGAGAAATATATAGCACTTTGCAAATATTAATCTCTGTACCTAATTTTTCAAGACAATTATTTTCTTATATAAACCCTTATAAATACAGAGAATAATAAAAACACTGTGGTAAGGAGAGCTACTTACCAAAGGATGGTTTAAGGGTGACCATTGGAGCATCTACCTGTGAGCTGAAAATTGTACTATGTCCATTTTCTGTCCCTCTCACATCTGTACATATATCATGCTGCTTGTAAAAGGAAATACTCTAATTCTGCCTCATGGAAAAATGACGTGCTGAATGCAGCTTGACAAAATCTGATCCTGCACTTTTAAAGTTAATGAGCATATTCCCATTTACTTGAATGAGCACAGGATTGAACTCCATAGATTACCTTCTTAGTGAAAAAGATCCTGCATCTTCTTAGTTATTTTAAAACAGAGGATTGTTTAGGAGACAGAATCTGGATACGGAATCTCTATCTTCTAAAGTTCTAATCTGAACCTCAAGAGAAGTTCCAGAGAGGACGGAGAGAGGCTGTTCTCAGTAGTGGAAGATGGCAGACCATGGAGCAATGGTTTCAAGTTACAGTGGTGGAGGTCTAGGTTGGATATTAGGAAAAACTATTTCACTAGGAGGGTGGTGAAGCACTGGAATGGGTTACCTAGGGAGGGGGTGGAATCTCCATCCCTAGAGGTTTTTAAGCCCCGGCTTGACAAAGCCCTGGCTGGGTTGATTTAGTTGGGATTGGTCCTGCTTTGGGCAGGGGGCTGAACTTGATGACCTCCTGAGGTCTCTTCCAGCCCTATGATTCTATGAATCCAGCATGAGTCAGTATGGACCTAAATTCCATATGACAGCTACCCTATATGAGTTGGAAATGCACGCCACAAGAAAGCAGCAGCAGCATCTACTATATATTTGAGAGAGTTTGTCTGTCTATTCAAGAACTCCTCCTATACAGTAAGAGCTCAGACCACCAAATTCAGTATACAGCTTCCTCTCATCATAACTTGAGGAAGATCGGGGTTTGGTTGTGCCAGGAAAATGGGATATGACTGGAATGGGATTGCTTCTCATAAACCATACAGAAAATAGACAGAATCACCAGGCTGGTGAAAGGGGATGACTTGGGGTGCACCCCTCCTCCCCATCTGAGACTGCCCTAGCCCCAAGCCTCCCATCCCCCCCCCCAGTCATCCTTTAGGAAGGGTGGGAGGGGCTGAAGCTCCCTGCGATTTGTACAGGAGCATTACTGATTGTTTCCCCTTGCTCCCTGATTAAGGGGAAGTGCAGTTTGTTGCATTCTTCACTCTGGCTAAGAGGCACAGTAGGCAGATGAATCCGGGCCTGCCCCAGCTGGGGGACATGCACCCCTCCTTCACCTCTGCCTGCTGGAGATGCAATGACCATGGAGAGACGCTTCTCCCACGGCTCCACCCTACATCAGGACTGGATGACTAAAGACTGAACAACCGACATTCCAAGAGGTGGCTTTTCCAGAACACAATGAAGCATATGAAAGAGCCAAACTGTATTTATTATTTGTATTGTGATAGCAACTAAAAGTTCCTGACATGGACCAGGACCTCAATGTGCTAGGTGTTGTGCAAACACAAAACAAAAAGCCAACTGTAGCAGTTCAGAGCAGGACTATAGCCCTGTAAGTAATCTATACAACTCTTTTTAGAAGCACTGATAGTCTAACATTTACAAAGCAAATCAGTACTGTGTAAACAAGACCTCTATTTAAGTCCAATTACATTTCCAGTGGGAATCACAAAACAGCCAGCCTGGTTATAGATTTACTGCTTATAAACTACTTTCATGGCAAACTGCACTGAGATTTTGTATACAGGCAGTCCCCGGGTTACGTACAAGATAGGGACTGTAGGTTTGTTCTTAAGTTGAATCTGTATGTAAGTCGGAACTGGCGTCCAGATTCAGATTTAAGTCCAATTACATTTCCAGTGGGAATCACAAAACAGCCAGCCTGGTTATAGATTTACTGCTTATAAACTACTTTCATGGCAAACTGCACTGAGATTTTGTATACAGGCAGTCCCCGGGTTACGTACAAGATAGGGACTGTAGGTTTGTTCTTAAGTTGAATCTGTATGTAAGTCGGAACTGGCGTCCAGATTCAGCCGCTGCTGAAACTGATCAGTTT